AATTCTATGGCTGAAACTTTGCCGAGCATTTCACATTTCTAAAAATTTGTCCAAAGTTTCCTGAATTTTTTATTGTTTTTTGGTTAAGCTAGCTATTTCCTTGAATATTTCTTCCTTCACTTCCGGTATCATTTTTTGGATTTCCTTGCACTGGGCTTCGCCTTTCTCTTGTCTCTCCCTGATCAGCTTAATAACTAACCTCCTGAATTCTTTTTCAGGTAATCAGGGATTTCTTCTTGGTTTGGATGCATTGCTGGTGAACTAGTATGACTTTGGGAAAGTGCTGAAGAGCCTTGTTTTGTCATATTACCAGGGTTGGTTTTCTGGTTCCTTCTCATTTGGGTAGTCTCTGTCAGAGGGAAGGTCTAGGGTGGAAGCCTGTTGTTCAGATTCTTTTGTCTCACGGGGTGTTCCCTTGATGTAGTACTCTCCCCCTTTTCCTATGGATGTGACTTCCTGTGAGCCAAACTGCATTGATTGCTGTCTGTCTTCTGGGTCTAGCCACCCAGCGAGTCTATGCAGCTCCAGGCTAATACTGGGGGTTGTCTACACAGAGTCTTGTGATGTGAACTGTCTATGGGTCTCTCAGCCATGAATATCAGTGCCTGTTCCAGTGGAGTGGCTGGGTGCACTGGACCGAGTGAGGGTTCTTAGCTTTGGTTGTTTAATGCTCTATTTTTGTGCTGTTGGCCTCCTGCCAGGAGGTGGTGCATTCCAGAAAGCATCAGTTGTGGTAGTATTGGGAGGAACTGGCAGTGGGTGGGGCCCTAGAACTTCCAAGATTATATGCCCTTTGTCTTCTGCTACCAGGGTGGGTAGGGAAGAACCATCATGGGGGAGTGGGGCTAGATGTGTCTGAGCTCAGACTCTGCTTAGGTGGGTCTTGCAGTGGCTGCTGTGGGGGATGAGAGCGAGATTCCCAGGTCAACAGAGTTGTGTACCTAGGATTATGGCTGCCTCTGCTGAGTCACGCAGGTTATCAGGGAAGTGGGGGAAACCCAGCAGTCACAGGCCTCACTCAGCTCCCACACAAACTGAAAGGCTGATCTCCCTCCCACCGTGCCCCTGCAATAGTCCCGAGTCTGTTTCCAGGTGGAGGCTGTAACAGGGTTGAAAACTTGCCCCAGGCTACCGGCTGCAAAAGAAAAGGGCTTGGTTCATACCCCACCTGTGGAGTCTGCACAACAGATTTGCACCCTTCCCTGAGTTCTGACCAGCAGGCGTCTTGCCCGAACCAAACTGTTAAAAAGTTCAGTTACATATTTCCCTCTCCCCATGGAGTTCCACCCCATGCTCCTCTGGTCACCCTCCTGATGGATACCCATGGTGCCAGGCAGGAATGGCCTGCCAGGAGATGCAGTAAGCCCCCAGGACCTCTCTACCACCTCCTCCACCCTTGTATTTCGCTCGGCTCTCCAAATTGACTCAACTCCAGGTAACTTTTCCCACAAAGAGGCCTTCAGTTTCTCCAGGGTGGGTGTGCATTTGGGAGAGGAGGGTCTCCCTTTCCCAAGTCCACAGTTGGGACACTCACAGTATTTGGGGTATCTACCGGGTCCTGCAGGAGCAGTCCACTTCCTCCAAAGGGTCTGTGGGTCTCTCGGGATTGCTGGTTTGTTCTTGCAGTTGATCTGGAGCTAAAATTCACAATTAACAACATGAATCTTAATCTATGAAAGTATAATGTTAATGTCTTTACCTTTCTCAGAGCAACAAAAGAACCTCAGAACAATGAACTGTTCTTCTTTTTTGAAAACTCTGTGCTGTGTTACTTTGAATTAATCTTTTCCAAGTCCCAGTTTTATACATTCAATATTCATTTAGATGTACCCACATGTTTACCACTTTCTTTGCCCTTGATTCCTTCTTATATCTTAGTCCAAATCTAGAAACATTTCTTTCTGCTTCAAATACATCCTGCAGAATTTTATTTAGTGGAGACAAACTCTATTTTTTGTTTACTTGTCTGAAAATGACTTTCTTTTACTATGAAATTGTGGGTTTACTTCTAAAGTCTCTTCTTTGTGGTAGTGATCCTACATGTTCACCTTTATACCAACACTACACAATCTTATTGACTATAGCTTTAGAATAAGTCTTGAAATCAGATAATATTAAGTCCAACATAATTTGTTCATTCTTTTCAAAATTATTTTGACTACTCTAAGTCATTTGTATTACCATTTGAATTATAGAGTCACCTTTATTTCACAGAAAAAAAAAAAAAGGGTCTGCTAGGGTTTTGATTATGATTAAATCTACAGATAATTTTTAGAAGAATTGGCAGTCTAAAATACTTAGGATTCTAGCCCATAAACATGATTTACCTCCTAATTTATTTATTTATTTTTTTTTTTTTTTTTGTGAGGCGGAGTCTCACTCTTGTCACCCAGGCTGGAATGCAATGGTGCGATCTTGGCTCACTGCAACCTCTGCCTCCCGGGTTTGAGTGATTCTCCTGCCTCAGCCTCCCAAGTAGCTGAGATTACAGGTGCCCACCACCACACCCAGCTAATTTTTGTATTTTTAGTGGAGACAGGGTTTCACCATGTTGGCCAGGCTGGTCTCGAACTCTTAACTCAGGTGATCTACCTGCCTCGACTTCCCAAAGTGCTGGGATTACAGGCGTGAGCCACCATGCCCGGTCTATTTAGGTCTTCTTTAATCTCTCTATAAAACATTTTGTAGTTCTATATTTTATTAAATGTATTTCTAAATGTTTTGGATTCATTATGATATTTTTAATTTACATTATTTTTGTTAATATATGTAAACATATTTTGTAAACTGATATATGCTAAAATCACACAAGATGTAAATGCCTTACTATTTTCTCTACAGAAAATTATGTCATCTGTGAGTAAAGACAGTTGTGCTTTCCTTTCCAGTCTGTATGTCTTTTTCTTGCCTCACTGAAGTAGCTAAGTCCTCTAGTACAATAGTAAATAGAAGTGGTAAGAGCAAACATCTATGCCTTGTTCTTATTCTTTGGGGGTGTTTTCCCATTAAGTATAATGTTTACTGTGGGTTTATTATAGATGCTAATTATCAGGTTGAAGATATTTCCTTCTCTTCCTAGTTTGATGAAATTGATATTAGATCTCGTGAAATGATTTTTAATTCAAATGATTTTATGGTTCTTGCCTATATTCTGTTAATATGGTTAAATCATGTTGATTTTTAAACATCAGATCAACTCTGTGTTACTGACAAAATAAATTTCTGTTCTTATAAATTACTTAGCCTTAGGTAATTCATTGTAGCAACACAAAACAGAATACACTGTTATTTTAATTTTTCACATGTATTAAAACTTGTTTCATGGCCCATCTGTGGTCTATCTTGATAAATGTTCATTGTGCACTGGAAAAGAATGAGTATTTTGTTGTTGGGTATAATTAACATTCTATAAATGTTAATTAGATCAAGTTGGTTGACAGTGTTGTTTCAATTTCCTTTAGCCTTACTAATTTTCTCTATACTTTTTCAATAACTTATTGAGAAAAGGATGTTGGAGCCACTGACAATAGCTGTGGGTTTGTTGATTCCGCCATGTAATTCTATTCATTTTTGCTTCCCATATTAGGTGCAAAATATTATGGATTTTATTATGGAATAATTAATACCTTTATTATTAAGAAATTACCCTCTTTATCCCTATTAAATTATTGACTCTGAATACTATTTTATTTGGGATAAATATAGCTGTCTCTAATTTATTTAGTGTGATCATGGTATATCTTTTTCTATTCATTTACTCTTAACCTATTCATTTCTTCATATTTTACAAAAGTGTTTTCGATTTGTTTCTTTGTCAGCATGATATAGTGTGGCCTTGTTATTTTATTTGATCTGAAAATTTCTGCCTTTTAATGGGGCACTGAGACCATTTACATTTATTATGGTTCTTAATATATTTGGGTTTAAAATCTATCATCTTGCCATTTATTTCTTGTTTATTCATAGTTCTTCTATTTCCTCTTTCCTATTTTTCTGCTTTATTTCAAGTTTAGTATTTTTTATAATTCAATGTTATCTTAGTTGTTGATTTATTATAATTCTTTGTTATATCATTTTAGTGGTTGCTTTAGAGTATAGAATATACAGCTTTAACTCATTACAGTCTACCTTCAAGTCATAATGCTGCAAATATAAGAACCTTATAACAGTAAACTTCCATTTATTCTCACATGAATTTTGTACTACTGTTCCCATGCTGTTTACATGTTTACATGCTATACATCTCACACTACATTTTTTGTTTTTCTTTGAACAGTTAATTACATTTTAAAGAGATTTATATAACAAGAAAAATAGTCTTTATACTTGCTCATGGATTTGCTATTTCTGGTGCTCTTTATTTCTTTGCATCGATTTGGATTTCCATCAGGTATAATTTTTCTTTTGCTTGAAAAATTGCCTTTAACGTTTCTTGAACTGTAGGTCTGTTGTTGAAGAATTATTTAAGCTTCTGTGTGACTGAAAAATTATTCAATTTTCCTTTGCTCTTGAAGATATTTTTGTTGAGCATAGAATTCTAGGTTGATTTTTTCTTTCAGAACTTTAAAAGTTTTGCTCCACTGTCTTCTGGTTTTCATCGTTTTTGGTAGGAAGTCTATGTAATTCTTATTTGTGTTCCTCTGGATATAACGTATCTTTTTAAATTTGGCTGTTTTTAAGAGTATCTCTTTATTACTTTTTAAAATAATTTTATTTTATATACCTTGGAGTAGTTTAATTCATATATCTTTTGCTTGAGATACATTGAACTCCTTTTTTTTTTTTTTTTTTTTTGAGATGGAGTCTCACCCAGTCACCCAAGAGTGCAATGGTGTGATCTCGGCTCCCTGCAACCTCCATCTCCCAGGTTCAAACAATTCTCCTGCCTCAGCCTCCCGTGTAGCTGGGATTACAGGCGCCCACCACTACAACCAGCTAATTTTTGTCTTTTTAATAGAGACGGGGTTTCACCATGTTGGCCAGGCTGGTCTCGAACTCCTGACCTTGTGATCCACCTGCCTTGGCCTCCCAAAGTGCTGGGATTACAGGTGTCAGCCACTGCGCCTGGCCTCATTGAGCTTCTTGGATCTACTACTCTACCCTGCTAATTCTGGATACGTGGGTCTCTCTGAACTTATACCTCTGTCTCCTCAAGTCAGGAACCCCTGCCTGGTTGCTCAATTCTTGTGCTGTGGTCTGGAAACCCTTTCTAGTCAGTAAGCTGTAGCAATAATAAGGAGTCCCTGGTTTGTTTCCACTCTCTCAGGGATCACCATCCTATCTGACTGATGTCCAATTTTTTTTAATTTCATGATTTTTTTCTGCTTTTTAAATTGTTTCATGTAGAAAAGTAAATCTAGTTCCCATTACTCCATCTTTGCTGAAAATCAGGAGCTAACTTTTACTGGACATCTACTATACACGAATTACTTTAAATTCATCATTTCATTCAATTCTATCAGAAAACCTATGATACAGATACTTTTAACCTATTTTACAAATAAAGAAACCAAGGGATAGGACAGGATTAATGACTAAAGTCACATATTCTATAAATGGCAGATTATTTGATTCCAGATGTGTTTTGACTACAAAAGGATGTGACTCCACGTAAAACAGAGAGAATTATAGAAAACTACATGAATGTGCATTAAAAATCTATTCTGTAAAATTTTGTTTTAATCAAAACCACTTTACTGAGCAGTTTGAACTACTTCTTTCTCTGGTGGTGGAAGCAAGGACATAATCTGAGAATGATGGTTTTACACTTCCAATCACTATCTTTGCTGATTTTCTTTCTTGTTCCTTAATGATATCCTGGGCAGATTCTACACATTCCTTGACATTTTGTTTAAAAAAAAAAATCCATTCTGCTTTGAAGCTCCAATTTCACACTAATTTAAACCCCTCTTCACTGGAGTCCAGGAGGTTTGGAGATGGGAAAGGAGGATTATCTGCTGTATCATTCTTCCTTCTCCAATCCTTGGAGTGGAAAAGGCATGATCTTTTTGTATACTTCCTCTCCCTTGTCTTTTCAACACTAACCATTTTAAGGTCATGGGCTAGGAGAGAATAGAGGAGGCAGAGATCTTCCTATGTAACTGCCACATTTGTGATGCTAAGGCACGACTGGCATTTTCCTATCTATTCTTGTGTTCCCATGTTCCCATAGATAGATTTTCCTGTCTATTCTTCATGTTCTCATGTCCTCTGCTTTTGAGATGTGTGGTTTTATGAGGGAGTTCATCTTCATTCAGATCCCTTCTGTCTCTGCCTCCTTCTGGCCCTGCCTGTGATTCCATTTCCCCTCCGGATGAAGCACTGCCTTCCAAGAAGAGCAAAGTGATGACTATACCATGGTTTCCGCCACCTCATATAATCCCTCTGCTCCCTCCCATGGAGCCAGGTCCTCTCTGACATTCTCAGAGGGCTGAGAGTAACTAGGATGGCTTTGACCACCATTCTTTTCCTAGGCACTCCACACTAAGGCTCCTTCTTGCCCTTCAGTCATAGATTATTTCTGCAAGGCTTTCCTCTTCAGTTCCCTCTCAAAATGACATGCAGGAACCAAGCTTTTCTAAGAAATCCCTCACTATCATCAGCTATAGTGGCAACAAAGGGATGGAATGGGGACTGCTCTATTGTTCTGCAGTCAACAAGCCTCTAGCTGGGGGTACGATCCCAATCCCGGTCTCACCTTGTGTAGCATCTCATTCTCCCAGATAATTTTCTTGGAATCCCACCTCATTCATTTAAATTCTGGAGGTGAGGGAATTACCTCATGAGAAAGGATGGGAAAGGAACTACCTCCCACTGCGAGAGTAGCATGTTCTTCCTCCCCGCTACCCCCCATAATCTCCTTATAATTACTTATTTGCTGGACAATGATTGTGGTTAGTAGGTCCTGTGTAGCTGCCTGCGTGTCAGTAAACTCTAGGGGGATTACCAGGCCCCAGTGTTGGCAGCTCTATTTAGACTGTGGCATATCAGTGCCTCTTATTTTCAGATGAAGCTCCAAGGCAACAGTAAAAATCCCACTCAATATCTTGTTATATAAACAATGGCTCTGCTCAGCCTTCTACTGTAGCTGTTCAAAATATGCGCACAAAAGTTGATTTTAATTTTACTTTGCTTAGTGCTGCTTTCACCACTTTGAAAATCTTGATAAGCACCAAAGTGCTCTGAGCATGTGGAGAGGCCTGGAGAAGGTTACTACAGTGTGCAATAATACAAAATAAATTAACTTCTCTCCTGCACGAAGTGTGCACAGTCATGACAGAAAAAACAGGGTGCTTTCTTTTTGAGGCTGACCTGGTTTTCAAGAAGTAGGAATGAAGGTTAGGGAAGGGAGGTATGGCAAAGAGAGAAAAAAAGAAAAGGAGGGAAAGGAGGAAAGGGTGGGGGAGAGAGAGATTGAGAACACAGACACTCCTTACTTTCATTCCTGGCTCCCATGGACACAGCCCAGAAGGAGCTCTGTGGGCCCCTCTTGGGACAGGCTAGAAGTTTTACCCACAGAGCTATTTTGAGCTCTGGCCTCTCCAGCAGGGATGAGTGCCATGGCCCAAGGAGCTAGCATTCTTGACCAGGGGAGGTAGGGAGGGACGAAGAGAGCTTTCAAGTGTATTTAACATTCTCCTCACAGCCTTCTCCAACGGGTCTCCCTCTGTCCTTTCTCCAAACACCAGACTCCTAAGTTTACTGAAGAAAAATAAGCTCATTAATCCAGACTCAGCCTAACATAGCAAAAGAAACAAGACATAGTCTGATGGTGAAAACCCTGGATTTGGAGGTAAGTTCTACTGGCCCTGTTCTTTAAACAAAAGTTTAGTCTATGCTTTAGACGCTAAAACAAGTACCTTAAAATGTATTTCTTTCCCGTGTCCTGACCTTTTCCTCCTTTTTAATGTTAAGCTTTTTTTCTGTATTATAATCACCAAAACTTTTGTTGACAGCAATCTGTTTATATCCTGAGCACATGTTGTGCTCTGAGCTCTGAGAAAAGTGTTAGAGAGACTCAAATGAGAGAAAAATGAGTCCCTACTTAGTGCTATTTAGAGGAGAAAGAAGCAGGTGTGGGCTTAGACATCAGGGTACATGGAGGAAGGAGAGCATCTAAAGTCTGAGAAGATGGGTGAGGACAAGAAGAGGAGCTTTTGCCCAATCTAAGCAGCTTCCCTGGTGTTGCCCAGACTACTCATCGTGGATGCTGTTCCACTTTGTAATCAGGATACCCCAATCTTCCGCTTTTCGAGAAAGCCCCTTGAGAGTAGGAACTGTGTCTCATTCACCATTACTCTTAGCTTTTAGCATAGCACCTGGCATGCAGTAGGATTATAGGCTGAATGAACCTATGCATATGTGAATTAATGAACTGGCAGGGTGCGGGAAGGAATGGCCACGTCCTAAGTTCCAAAATCCTCTCTAGACCTCTGAGCAGCCACTTTGGGAGCCTTTAAGAACAGTAAAAGAGGTTTTTCTTATTGGGTGAATAATGCCTTATATATGTAGGCTGCCTTTTTTCCCCAAAGAGTTGTTCTTACCCATCTCACTTGATCTTCACACAAATCTGACTGGGAGCTGTGTTGGGGGAGCCTATTGTATTGTATCACTATTTTATTGACAAGGAGGCTGAGGCTCAGAGGAATGACTACCCTCAATCCTTCTGTGTTACTCTGGAAACTCATTTAACAATAGTGTGATTTCATCTGACTAGGTACCTGTGGTTTCAGAAATACACAGGTTCAACCACTGATCTCTGATTAAAAGCTGGGGGTCAGTATCTCAGTCTTCCATTGATCAGGTTAGTTGTGATGCCTTATTGTCTCCAGAGGCACATGGTCAGGGAACAATTGTATAAGCACTTTGATTTGGAGAGGAAGAATGCCAAGCAGGCTGAAGCCAGACTGGACCACAGGCTGCAGAAACTGGAGGATATCTGCCTCTACCATGTGAAATTGCTGACCTGGGAGCAGAGGCAGCTCCAAAAAGAACTGCAGAAGTTGCAGCAAGGTAAGACTTTCAGGACTGGGGAGGAAGATGCCCCAGAGGCACAGCAGGGCAGTGGGCCCATCACTCCGCCGAGGCCCTTTCAGAGCCCTGAGTGCCAAGACAGCAAGAGCTTCTGATCAGAGCCTGGATTTTAGGCTGCCTAGCCTTCCTTGTCCCTCCCCCGTCAATTACACAGCTCCCCCCAGCAGCCTACCCGTAAGCCTTCTTGAGCTAACATGTCTCAGGCTTCCAGTCACTGCCATCATTCAAGTTAGCTCTTTCTTGCTTAAATCCTTTGTTTTCTTCTTTTAAATTTTATTTTTCATTTTGATTTTCTTTCATTATCTGGGCTGATTTGGTTTCACCCATTTTTTGATATCCGATCTTTCTCTTTTGGATCTAACAACAATTTATTGAGTAGTTACTAATGTGCAAGTCGCTGTCCTAGCCCACTTTATGAAAGTTAAAAAAGAAAGGAAAGAAAAAATGTCTCTGGAATTAGTACCTCAGCTTCCCCCAATGTCAAATAAAAGTATTTCCTACCTTATGAAGTTATTTGAGGATTCAGGGAGCACTTAGATAAAGTAAGTGCTATATAAGTGCACAGTCTTACCAATTAAAAATTGTTACACAATTGAAACCCTTCTACTGTTTTTGTTGAAAATAGTCACAGTTGTACAGTCTGTAGAAACTAGTTCTCCTTGGTTCATCATTAAAATAATTAGAATTTAATATTACTTAAAAATTCAGCACAGGAAAGAAAAATCTTGGCTCTTGAAGACTACATCCTTTCTTACTGAAGGCAAGTGCCAGAACTCAGGAGTCTGAAATGGACAGAGCATGTTCAAGAGGAAGGCCAGGTGCTATAAATGAACATAAAATATTTCAGGTCAACAGAGCTTATACATGACATAAATGCCAAGAGTAATAGCTAAATGTCTAGCCTGGGAATTCTTTCTAACCTCCCACTTTGGGTTTGAAAGATACTCTGAGCAACTAACTGAACTCCTCTGCTTTCAATTTCCCTGTCTGCAATAAATGCTTAACCAACCTAGAATTAGAGCTCACATACTGGAAAAGGGTCTTAGAAGGCATTTGGTTGATTCCCACTCTTATTCAAAAGGACACTGAAGATCAGATGGCTATTCTCAGGAGGGTGTACAAAAGGCCAGGCCCTAGTAAGTGTCTGTCCTTGCTGAGTAGAGAGTTGGATTGGACACAGTATGAATCAGGAGGTAGAAAACTTTGATTCAGGTGCTTCTGCCTCCATATCCTTTGGGAAGTCATATTCTCTCTAAGTCTCAGACTTCTTGACAGTAAAATCAGGGGTACAGGAAGGAAGCAATATGTATTAAGTCTCAATATTTCTTAGGCACTGTGCTAGGCAATAGTTTTCCATGATTCATTTAAATGAAATTGTTATTGAGATTCAATTCTATGCCAGTGAGTGGATTATTTAAGATGCATGTTGCCAGTCCTTTGAGTCAGCAGGTTAGAAATTAGGCTTAAAAATCCACATTTTTAACTGAGATGATACCAAGGCAGATTATTCTGGGACAGGTGTTTTTCAGACCAGACTTTGCAAAACAGCTACTCAGGTAGAGTCTGGAATGCAAATATGAAAAACCGTGGTCTCTGCCCTCAAGGTACTCATATTTAAATTAGAGAGTAGTTCCACTTATAAAAAATGATTATCAAAACTGCTAATTGAGTTCTTCGCAAAGTAGGGCAGGAACATAAAAAGGTTCCTGTGTCTTTCAAAGGGCTTTAGCTAAGATTTCCCAAAAGACACAGTGTGTGAGCAGAATCTTAGAGGAGGAGGAGAATGGGGAAAGGGTGGGAAGTTTGTCAGGAGGACGAATGGAATGGGGCCACTCCCGGCAGAAGGAAGAGTATATACAAAGGCACATAAATGAGCACTGCTCGCCTCAAATAGCTCAGTACTGCAGGCACGTGACATGGAAGTGGGGAAGAGGAGAACGTGTAGGTGCAGTTTTCAGAGACAACGCAAAATAGCCAATGTCTCCAATCCAATCCAATCATGAATGACTTCACAGGTCTTGCAAAAGAGTTGAGAGTTCACCCTGTAGGGTTTGAGACTGGTGAAAATTACATGCTCAAATGTTAAAAAGATCATTCTGGGTGCAGAGTTTAAGGTAAAATAGACCTCAGGCTATAGTCAGAGTAGACCTGATAGAATTACAAAGTTCAGGCCATGGTTTCAAGGCCTAAACTAGGGCATTGGTCAGGTGAAGAAAATGAGAAGATGAGCATCTCGAGATATTTAGAAAGTAGAATTGTTGGAGCTTTAAGACTAAATATATGTCCAAGGGTAAAGAAAACCAGAATCCAAAGTATATTGCCTGGTACAAAGTGGGTGCTCAAATGAGCTTGTCAAATCTGGTAACTGGGTGGGTAGAAGTACCATACCTTCACAGAGAGAACATTGGAGAAACATCAAGTTTCAAAGAAAGGATATGTTCATTTCTCAACCTATTGTCCCTGTAGGTCTAAACTTCAGAAGACAAACCTTGCTGGGAGAAGTAGCTCAAAATCCCTCAGTTTATATGGAATAGGTGAAGTTCTTACATGTAAGAGACCCCCACAAAAGACCCCAAGGAGAAAACAAAGGATGAGAAGCTCACAAAGAACTCTTCCTTGTTCTGATCACTTCACAAAGAAGCGATCATATGAAAGAGTATTAGGAGTTCATTGTAAATTCTAGGTTCCCTATCTGGTCATATTCCCTCTGCTTGGTGCCTATTAAACGAACTGTAGATTTAAAGAATTCTCTCCCATGAGCAAAACTAGTCCAAGACTTTCAACTCTCAATGACCAGTTCATGAGATGTCTTAAAAACTAATTGAGTTCTCCATAGCAGCTATGTCTGCAAGAAGCTAAAACATCAACTCAACAAGTGAAAAGTCCACTTAGTCATAGCTGGCAGTTGCAAACTCACAGTTGGGTAGGAGGTCACATAATTGCGGTGAAGGAGACAATCCACTCACACTCAGTCATTTTGTTTTTGAAAACATTGTGCTTGCCAAGTAAAATGTTCAAAGGAAACCTCCACGGGCTTAGCCAGTTTAAACCTCTGATCTTAGTGTTTCTAAATCCTCTTTAACATATACTAGGTAAACACTGGAAAACTGCTTTAAATTTTTCCGTTTCCGTCTATCACACCAGATGAACCTAATGTATAATATACACCGAGGTTTATACACATTGGTTTTCTGAAAGCCCAGTTTGCAGAATTCTTTTTCTTCTTCTTTTGTTGGTTTCCTAGGGCTGCCATAACAAAGAACTACAAACCAGGTGCCTTAAACAACAAAAATATATTGCCTTACAGTTCTAGAGTCTGGAAATTCAAAATCAATATGTCAGACATGTTGGTTCCTTCTGAAAACTGTGAGGGAAGGCTCTGTTGCAGGCCTCTCTCCTTGGCTTATAGATGGCTGTCTTCTCCCTGTGTCTCTTAGTGCTCTCCCTGTATGTGTCTGTGTGTTCTAAGTTCCTTTCCTTATAAGGACACCAGTAATATAGGATTAGGACCCACCCTAATGATCACATTTTAATTTTGTTATCTCTGTAAGATCTTATCTCCAAATAAGATCCCACTCTGAGGTACTGGGGGTTAGGACTTGAAAGTAAAAAATTTAAAGACACAATCCAACTCATAACACTTCTTAATTAACTCAAGCAAAAACCATGAAGAAAAAGTTCTCCTCTTATTTGGGGAATGGAATTCAGAAGAGACCAGAAGATGTTCTCATGTTCTCACTACAGGGAGGGCAGAAGCACAGAGCCCCACAGGCTAAGAAAATGAGGTAAGAACTTGATTACTAAACTCATGGGTATGACATTAAGTCTCTCTTCCCAACTGACCTCTTTAAACTGTTTTCCTGAAGAAATGCTCCTTTCCCCTTCTTAAGTGAGACATTTTCCCTACATTGTTACCATTCAATTTCACCCGCCACCCCATTCCCACCTATATTACCTTGGCTGATACTGAAGAGGACCACATTCTAGGAAGCTGAAAGATCTAAAGAAGAGCCTCTTTATTGGTTTTCAAAGATCTTTCTTTTATCTCCTTTCTCAGAGCATTGGCAACCCGTATGACCCAAGACACATACAAAAGCAAGTCCCAGCTGCCTCCTTCACATGATCCTGGCCTCAAAGACTCCATGAAGAGCAAAGAGCAGCTACTCTCTCAAAATAACAGAACTGCCTGCTTCACGAAAGAGCAACCACAAGCCCAAGATAAAGATTCTGTGAATCCACCTAAGGACATAGACTCCAGCAAGGGCCTCTCTGTTCTATGCCAAAATCAAGAGGTTTCCACTAACACCATAGAACAAGGTCCTAGTTCCAGCCCAGCTCGTAATAGTGGAACGGCACATGCTAATAAGACCAGATCAAAAGATATTGCTGTAAAGCCAGATGGGAACACTGGAAAACAAATTCCTCCAAATCACACGGAATGTGCAGGAAGCTTCGAAGGCGAGTTCACGAAGCCAGCCTTCTTAGAGTTGCTTTCAACGGCCAGAAATGTGCATTATCTCCGGCACAGGGTCCCCCCTGAGTCTGAGAGGTTGCTTAGCATTGGGGAGGTATTTGGGCATGGGGAATCCCTGGAAGGCAGGCGAGGAGTGTGAAAATAGAGCGCTTTCTAAGTTTCTTCCTCTCTAACCATTTAACATAGCCTGATAATAACATATTCCATTATTGCTAAGGAAATGTGCTCCTCAAATGGCTATATTAAGCAATACAGAGAAAAACAAATAAACATAATTGAGTTACAATTTTATTTTAAACTTCCTATTATTTTCCGGGAATATAATATTTCTTGAATGAACAATGCTAATATATGAAAAAGGAGGGGAGGAATGAATCTTCTGAAAGTGCTTTTTAAGGGATGTGTTTATGATGTCATCAACAATATGAATATATATTGATGACTGGACTTGGGAAAACAGTAAGAGTCTTGCTTTCAGGGACTTCCTGTTTCTTCCAGGAGATTCTCATGGTGCCACCTGCTGGCAAAACGGCGTAGCTATTCTCTTTGTTTTAGTTTGATATACAGTAGTGGTAGGAATAGGAATGCGATTGTAAACATGTACTGTAACATGGTCTGCAAAGAAAACCTGCTCTTTAACCACACCCATGTGCTCTCTTTAACCACACCCATGTGCTCTCTTTGGAAGCCCTTTCCTTCTTTCCTTTATTTACAGATAGCTCCATTTTAGTTTTCACCTTCCCACTTTCAACCTGCTCATATCAAATTTTTTGAATCCTATTGAAAGAATAATGGACAATCTTTTCCCTCTCGTATCTTTTAGAATCAAAAGATTTAAAAAACTTTTAATCATCTCCCAACATGATGTCAAATGCACAGCAGACTCTATCAAAACAATTTCACTGTAAAATGAGAGGTACTAACATTGTTAACAAGTTATAGTTTCAAGTAAGCCTCTATGACTTGGGCTACATTGTAAAAGAATCGATTAGATTTTGTTTCCCATTCAAGGGATCCAAATATCACACTAAAAATAAGTAGTATCATAAGTCATCAGGAAACAATAGCTTTTTGTTAACGCATTTAAACTTATTGTCTACCTAATGAAGTGTAGAATAAAATCATCACCACTTTTATCTATACTGACTTTATTAGGAAAATCATCTTGCACCATAGGTCTCAAAGAAATCATGCCTCTATGGTGGATAAATTCAAATCTTCAGCCCAATAACAAACTTTAATTCCAGAAGTATAAACTTGAGGGCCTATTTCATATCTGGCATCCATACTTGATGTAACCCAGCCTGGGATATTTTGATGAAACAAGGTTATTTAGCTCAGAAATGATAAAGGACCCCAACCTACTAATATAACAAAGGGCCTGCAATGAAGATTAATTCATATTTAACTTATAGTTCATTAAATATAAATTTGAAATACATTTAGTTTGAAAACATTTCATTTAATTCAGATTTAGAATTCCTTGTGTTTAAAGATAGTAATTCCTAATAGCTCCTATTTTTCAGTACCTCCCCACATCCTGACACATTCCACACAGCATGCCAACTGATCCTCAAAACAATACTGCAAAATAGTTTTCTTTATCCCCATTTTACAGATAAGGAAATTGAGGGAAGAGTGGTGGCAACTTGCTAATAGATGGCAGTCTAGCATTTGATCTCTCCTCTACTCAATTTCCTTGCTCACGCTCTTTCATTACACCACACTACCACCTATCTGAAGACAAAAGCTTAGATCAAACATGTGAGAGTCAGTTTCATTAGCCCAGCCTCTGGCCTTCAATGGGGAGACAATACTTTATAGTGAAAAGAACACAAGAAATCTGCTACTTCCAAGATTTTCTTCCATGAAGCAAAGCAGCAGACGAAGGTAGGCCATAGGTGACAGAACTGATTCACGAAAACTTAACTTTTTTGCACCAGCCATGCTTGGGCCAACAGGAATAGGCATACGACAATTAGAGAACCCCTTTGTAAACTGCACAAGCTCTTTCCTAAAAGTTCTTTCTTCTTGTCTTCTACGCAAGCCTTGCCTATCGTCATCACAATTCTCCCTCAAGGCTGAGTCCTGAGTGAATGATTTGTCACTACTAAGTGGGTCTTTTCACTGTACTAGCTATCACAAAGGGAAGGGACCATCACAAGGCAGGAGGGAGCCAGCCTCAGCCCAGACCTCTGTTCCACTTAGTTCCATGCCCTCTGCTCCAAGTCCACCTCACTCCTGCCATCTACAGAAGTGAACATTCTGTATGTTCCTCCTTGCTGTCTTGCTTGTGTCTTCATATACATCTGACAGACCCAGATCTGTCTGCACTTTTAAAATCAATATTTTAGTACATCCTGTTTTAAATATGCCATGCATTGCCACAAATTATACATTTAAAAATCTTCTAATCACCTAGATTTTATCTTCTTATCATTTAGTCTAATACATTTTCCTTCTTCAATACAATGGATGTAATACTCTGATTAGTACAACGTAACACAATCAAAGAGAACGCTGCTGCATGGAGCCTTTCTTGTGTAACTCATTAAATTCTAAAGAACAGTTTAAATCCTTAATCCTCACACGGCACATGGTGCTCTAGGATGGCTTGCTCTCTACTAGGCACAGTCACTGTGCTTATACCAGTAGTTCTCAGCTAGGAGCAAATGTGCTCCCTGCCCCCAAAAAACATCTAGCACTGTCCAGAGGTATTTCTGGTTGTCACAACTGAGGTGAGGGGGCTGCTACTGGAGTCTAGTAGGTAGGGACCATAAATTCTATAATACATGGAGCAGCCCTCTAAAACAAAGAATTAACAAGCACAAAACATCAATAGTGCCAAGATTGGAAACTCCACCCTGTACATTACATTAAATATTCACAAAACCTTCTGAGATAGAAAATCAGGGAGATACTTGCTGCCATTTTACAGATAAGGAAACTGAGGCTCATGGTAAGTAAAATAGCTTTCTCCATACCAGAATGTGGATGAGGAACGAAGACCAGGATACTCTTTTCCCATACTCTCCTCTCAAAGAAGATGGGGAATGACACGTGTCTGATGGCTCCTGCCCTCGTTTTCAGTTAAGAAATGCTTTCAACCCTACAAATACAAATCTTTAACATTCAAATTAGTGACAAATGGTTAAAAGGGATAATTTATACTTCAATTTTGAGGAAACATTTTTATTGCATTCATCCATTCATTCATTCAGAGATGTACTGGGGACAGATAATCCCTTCCCCGTTTCCTCCCCCATGAGGAAGAAGGAGCTTTTGACTTGTTGCCTTAACTCATTCAATGGGAAGAGATTCCATTTCTCACCTAGAGGCAGAGGCAGCTGGAAACGCCCAGAGGTAGAGACTCAGCCTCTCACCCAGGGTCCCCAGGTTCTGGAGGCTACTGAAGAGCACCCGGAAGGATCTCACAATCCTCAGTGTGGGAGGAAGGTTGGGTAAGTTGTTACCAGGAACACTGGAGGGACCAGCTCCTCTCAAGGTGAAATGAGCCTTGAAGGAAGGGCAGAGGAAATCACTGTTGGGCAAGTGTTTTGCCCTCACACCAAGAATACCAGGGAAGCAGAGGGCACCAGTCCAAACAGATGTCAGCAGCCCTACCTCACCACTGACAGCCAGAATAGCAAGCAACCATTACAAAAAAAAAAGGGGGGGGGAGGAGTCAGAGGTGTGTGAACAATTGCATGAACCAACTCATTCCCTCACCTCCATCCACACCTACTGGATCAGGCACTCAGGCACTGAAGACAGAAGAAGGGAGAGCGGGCAGCCAGGTCCTCCTCTTCTGCCTGAGGCCACTGCAGTAGAACAGAAGTTCCACCAGGTGGGGAAGGAAGACTGTAAACTGGACAAGAACCATAAGTAATAATAACCTAAATGCAGTTAAATGAATATCTACTGGCAATAAAACTTTTAGAACAGAAGTGCATGGAAGTTATCAGATCAGACTGAAGTAATATTAAGCAAAGTTGGTCACAGTTATTGGGGGTAAGAAGAGATAACCATTCCATGTTTATACCTCACCAAACTGAGATTTCTCAACCTAATCTATATAGAGATGCATTGCACTGAATTACACTGACTATAAGAAGCACAGGTCTTTATTATATGGTCCTCATCTCAAATGTGGCTTGGGGCATGTGTGGCCCCCTTAAGATTTATAGGAAAAAAATGTTTGACATAATTAGGCATAATGCAAACTATCCCCTAACTTTTCCACCTTCCCACCACTATTGTGAATATGTTGCTGCTCTATGTCCTAATAGTAGGCATCATTAAAAATTGTAAGCAAAATTTAATGTAATTGGTTAAATTATTTTGAACTACTCAAGTTTAATCCCATTGAACTGGTTGCATGAAACTGGGCAATGAGGAAACCTTCCTGGTAAAAGGAAAACACATATAAATACACATACAAAGACTCCAAATACACGTAGCACATTTTGGTTAGAATCAAACTGAATACTTGCATGGACCCTTTCAACTCAAAATTATTAATAAAACTAAATCTTACATTAAAAATGTGTGATAAACAAAATGTATGCATGCTATATATAAAGATGTCAATGCAATTCACAACTGGAAATTTTTTGAATACTCTGAGGACTATTTGTTCATAGTGAGGTGGAAGAAATGAGGCAATCAGCATAGACCAAGGGTTCAAAACTAAAGGACAAGAGCTAGGATTGCCAAACCAAGTGACTGATTCAGCTGTGGAGAGAGCAACAGAAAGTGAGCAAGCATCTGCCTGCATCACTGAGACCTCAGCCTCCTTTCCTCCTGGCTTCCCCTGGAGCTCCAGCAAGTAGGATAGTATGAGCAGAATAATAGTGATGCTAGTAATTATTTTGATACTATTAAATGAAAGAGCAGATACAATTTTACATAAGAGGTATAAGAATTCATATTTGAATGATATTTTTTCTTAGAGGATTTTCCTCTCATTTTCCTTGGGGAGTACACACTCACACAGACACTGAGACCCACAACACTCTTTTTAAAAATGGCCATAAAAAGAAGGTGCCCTCAAGGACTCAGATGGTAGTTCACTACAAGCACTCATACCCGCAGTATACTAGCTGTCAGTATGCTGGAGGGAGGTGATCATGTTTCAGGGAACTAAGGGTGAATGGCAGCCCTAATACAGTTT